GACCAGCCTGCTGACGCTGTGCGCAATGGCGGCGTGGGGCGTGGGCAGAGTGGCCCAGGGAGCGGCGGAGTTGTTGCTGGCGCTGCACCGCAGGGGGCCGAGGCTGCCCGAGGAGGTCCCGCGCGCGTAGGGCGGGGGGCAGAGGTGGGTCAAGGCTGTCGAATCTCAGAGGAAAGGGACAGATGCCCCTACAGTTTCCTCGCTTTCCCCCTCGGCGGGCCACTCGAGAGGCCCTCGTCGCAGCCGCTGGGCTCGCTCTTCGGCCCTGGTCGGAACGCACCCCTGGAGAGGGTCGGGGAGGAGCGCGTAGCGGTACCTTTGGGTCTCCGCTGTGGGGGGGGGGGAGGTGCTTCAAGGCTGTCGGATCGAGGTTCGTGGTCCCGCCGCCGTCCTCGTCGGCGGCACGATGGGCGAGGACGCTCCCCTCGGCCCCGGATTCCCGGGGAGGGCCGCAGGAGGGTCGGGCACGCTTGCCGAGAAAGCGCGCCGTGTCGTGCTCGCGAGAGTCCGAGGCATACAGCGGGCGGTTTCGTCAAGGGCAAGCAAGTCACCACCCACCAGACCACCCCAACCCAACCCGAAGGCTCAGATTTCCCCTCGATTTCCAGTGGGGGGGGGGGTCGGGAAACATCGAAAAAAAACGTGTGGAACCCGTACCCCCCCCAACCCAAATTCGGGTCTTCGGGTTGGGTTGGGGTGGTCTGGAAGGTAGTCAGCAAGCAGAGTACAGTCGGGGCGCCGAAGAAGGAACCCGTTTTGTTGGGGAGGGTCTCCGTGCTCCTTGATTGTTTCGCAGCTTGCCCCAGGTTTTCCCTTAGGTCTTCGATCTGCAATCGAAGTTCCACTTATGAAAAATAGGGGCCTCGCTCCTTATTTAGGGCTCCCTAGGTCAACACCCCGACTGTATATCTCGGGCGGGTGGCAGTGGGGGTGACCCGAATCGTGGGTGAAGAAAAAAAAGCCCCAAAGGGACCCTTTAGGGCTCCGTTTGTGCACCCGCTGGCTCCGAAACGGTCACGTCCCTTCACCTCCCATGTGGGTCGCCCCCCGTTACCTCGGCATCGCTCGGACTTGTGCATCTTTCCTTCGGCGAGGACCATCGAGGAGCATCCTTGATCACTTGGCGAAAAAACCACGCACGAAGCCTAAAAAAAACACAGGGAATGGACGTCCGAGCGATGGCCAGTTACCACCCGCCCGAATATGGTCCAGATCCTGCGCAGTACGAGACAGCCGAGAAGTGGGCTCGGGGTTTGAGACTGTCGGGCGCCTTCCTCCGCTTTCCAGCCTCGGGATGCTCTGCAGCCGCTGCGAGCCGCGCCTAGCCGAGGCGACGGCGGAGGCTTCCGAAGGCCAGGACGCGAGGAGTGGGAGTCGGCGGCGAGCGAGGGAGGGAAGTGAGAAGGGGCGGGCCTTTCCAGAAGGCCTGGAAGTCCCTTGGCCTTCTGAGAAGTTCTCGAAGGTGTGCAGTGCCGAATGCAGCCTTTTGTGGTCAACTTGCAAAAGTCTGGCTCCCCCTGGGGCTATGCAGCCACATTGGGCACGAACCCATAACGAAACGAAGTCGTTCTGCGCGGCTATGGATTCAGGAGGGGAAGAACACACAGGCACAATTAATCGTCGACTCCCAGGGAAATATAGGAACATATGGGAAGTGTGGGGGAAGACGGGAACCCAGGAAATATTGGAAATATCAAGAATCCTGGGACTTGTGTCTCTTTAGTTGTGTGTCCCAGGGCCCGTTTAATGGGATGTTCTTGGAGGACGACTTGGGCCGTTTTCGTCGGCGGCGACGTGGGCCGCGAGTCGTCGCAAAGCAACAGCTGGGACGCGGCATATCTGATTGCGCGCCGATGCGGTTCGGAAAACGTGGAGGAGAGATGCCGGAAAAGAGGACAAAACAGAGAGCCGAGCTCAGAGCACGCATCACTTCATTTAATCTCTGCCTCAGCCCTTCGTGGTCATAGGGGCACCAGATTGCCATCTCCCCGTATCTTTTTCGCTCGACGCACGCAATCCCAGTCTTGTCAAAAAGCCTCACGCGATTGTCGCGGTGCTCCATTCCAAAGAAAGCGAGCATCGTTTTACGCGTGGTGATGGCGGCTTCGGGCTCCAGCTGAGGTCGTGGGACGGGGCTACAAGATGGAACGGAGCACTCCGGGGCATGCACTTGGACCCCATGCGCAAGCCCCCAACACTCATCAAGGAATCGTATACATGAATTAGCCATGCGTGGGTTAGCGATGGATCCCGTGTCCGTACAGACTTGGTGCGGCCCGTCGCCACAGCAGGCGGCATCGGCCTCATGCTTCGGGGCGACCTGCGCCGATCCGTGGATGTTGCGCCAACGCGCCAGATCCACGGATCTCTGATCCATGTCAGGGCGTGCCCGAGATCAGGTGTTGCTTGCACGCGCGCTCTGGAGCCACTCCTGGAGGGAAAACCTGCCTGGGAACTGACGGCCGTTCCCACAAGGCCACAGGCCAATATTGGGACGGACCATCGAGTGGCCATAACGGGAAAAGTATCCTCGATCCTCCCTGCTCGATATCCCCCTTCCTTCTCGCCCCCTGGTACTGCTGAATGTCATCAAGGCCGGGAGACCTTTCAAACACCTCTATCACCACAAATCAGTCCTCCTCGTCAACGCCCTTCGTCCCCCTAAGACCACCGACGCCTCGATGTTTCACAACTCGGACCCTCTCAGGTTTCGACCCCTTCCCCATGATTGGTTCTCATTTTGGGTGTGTGTGTGTGTGTTCAACAGTTCTTGGGCATTGCAAGGGCCCCTGGAGGCCGAGAAGGGGCGACAGCATCTCGTGGCGATCGCTTCAGGACGCGAGGGAGGCCCTCCAGTTTCGCGAGTCAGGAAGTCGCCCCTGGACAACTCTTGGGATCTTGTTTTGATCAAGATGTCGAGGCGGAACCGGCCGTGGGCGCACGGAAATTTCGCTACTCGAAGGTCGAGCTTCCCTCCTCCCCGTCCCCTGCCCCCCTAGTTGTCCTTCCCGTCACAACCCACCAAACCACCCCAACCCAACCCGAAGGCCTCAATTTGCCCTCCATTTCCACTGGGAGGGGTCGAGGAACATTGAAAAACCACATATGGAACCCGTACCCCTCGCAACCCGAAATTCGGGTCTTCGGGTCGGGTTGAGGTGGTCTGGTAGGTAGTCATTCCCCCTTGTCCTGCGCCCTCGCCCTCATCCCCCCATTGTCCTCCTCCCACATCCCCCCTGTAGCCAAGCTAGTATCAGCAACGTGTCAGATCGAGTCCGATCATGTGGCCGTGCGCCGAGATTGCCTACTGGCACCGTCGCCGCCCACCAGTTGTGGGGTGCCGCGGCCGCCACTGAGGGGGCAACCCCAGATCTTCTCATGCGACCATCTGAGGTTGGCCATAGAGGAGCTCCACCACCACCGACACCTCATCCCAGTTCACACTGTTGCTCCTCCTCCTCCTGCTCCTCCTCCTCCTCCTCCTCCCCTCTCATGTTTGACGTTGGTCATGCATAAGTTTCTCTTGGCGATTGCGCTATTCCAGTGCAGTGAGGCATCGAGATAAAGGACAATGCCAATTTAGACTAGAGATAACAGCGTAAGGCTACTGCCAGTGCGGATGTAGGAGATACAAAAGGAATTCGCAATAGGTAGGGTGTCGCGTCCATGTGGGCGTAGAGTAACTGAGCAGGCAGCCATGCTGTGCCTCCTCCTCCTCTTCCTCCTCCTTCCTCTTCCTCCTCCTCCTCCTCCTCCATCCTAGTCCTCCTACTCCCTCCTCCTCCTCCTCCTCCTCCTCCTCCTCCTCCTCCTCCTCCTCCTCCTCCTCCTCCCCCTGCTCATCCTCCTCCTCCCTCCTCCCTCCTCCGTCCTCCTCCGTCCACCTCCGTCCTCCCCCTCAGCAGGTATGGGAGTCGGCGCGGCCCGTCGTAGAGCAGCAGCTGGCCGGGCTCTTCGCCGCGGCGGGCGAGCTGGCCGGCAGGCAGGGGGGCCGAGTGGCCGTCCTCGTCGATCCTCCTCTTCGTAGCTCCTTTTTCGCCGACAAGGACGGGAGGAGGAGGAGGAGAGGGAGGAGGAGAACGAGGAGGAGGAGGAGGAGGAGGAGGAGGAGGAGGAGGAGAGGGAGGAGGAAGAGGAGGAGGAGGAGGAGGAGGAGGAGGAGGGACGAGGAGGAGGGAGGAGGAAGGAGGGTCCTGAGGAACGACCGTCCTCGTCACTCCTCTTCGGAGCTCCCCTTTCGCTGCGAAAGACGGGAGGAGGAGGAGGAGGAGGAGGAGGAGGAGCAGGAGGAGGCGGAGCAGGAGGAGCAGGAGGAGGAGGAGGAGGGAGAAAGGACGAGGGAGGAGGGTCATGAGGAAATGCCGCCCTCGTCGCTCCTCCTCGCCGCGAAGGACGGGAGGCGGAGGAGGAGAGGGAGGAGGAGGAGGAGAAGGAGGAGGAGGAGGAGGAGGAGCAGGAGGAGCAGGAGGAGAGGAGGAGCAGGAGGACGAGGACGAGGAGGAGGGAGAGGAGGATGAGGAGGAGGAAAAGGAGGAGGATAAGGATGGGGGGGAGGAGGAGGATTAGGAGGAGAAGGAGGATGAGGACGAGGAGCAGGAGGAGGAGGAGGAGGAGGAGGAGGAAGGTGGAGGAGAAGGAGGGTCCTGAGGATAGGCCGTCCTCGTCGCTTATCTTCGTCACTCGCTTTTAGCCGCGCAGGACAGGAGGATGATGATGATGATGAGGAGGAGGAGGAGGAGGAGGAGGAGGAGGAGGAGGAGGAGGAGCAGGGAGGAGGGAGACGCCTGCAGTACTACGCTTTGCCCTCGCGGGCTCTCCACTTTTCCGCAACTCGGTGCACCTTCAGTCTGCACCGCTTCGTCTGCACTCAGGCGGTTTGTTCGTTCTTCCTGCCAGTAGAACGCTAATGACAGCCTAGTTGCTAAAGTCCGCCTAACGTTTGTGTTCAAAAAAGGAGGAGGGAGGAGGGTCCTGAGGAAAACCTGTCCTGGAGATTCATTGGCTTACGCCGCACCGCCGACCCCTTGGGGCGGCAGCAAGAGTGAAAGACAGAATTCGCGGAATGCGCGCGATCGCTGGGCAATCTTGGGGGTTCGGCTTGTCCTACGTAGCGTGTGGGATTCAAAGGGGAGCCTTGTAGGGGATTGTTTTGAAGTTCGTCGTGGTCTTATGTGAGTTTCTTGGGGCCTTCACGGGGCCTGTCCCAGGCCTCCTTTTCCACCTCTTGGATAGGCTCGGGGTCGTTGAGACCCAGCTGGGGTTGCGTCCTGCCAAAAGTTCGAGAGTGGAGCTGTGTCGACGAGGAGCTTCCTGAAGGCCCAGAGGGGGCGGAGAGCGCCCAGGAACTAGGAGTCTCGTGCCTCGAGCCTCGATCCACCCCGTGTTCCTTCCTTTGCGAAGGGGTGGCACCGGCCAGGGAGGTCGATCCTCATCCCGGACCTTCGGCGGTGGTCCCCGACACCGAACGGATTTTGGAGGCTGAATTCGAGGAGATGCTTCGGGTGGTCGAAAGACCAAGAAAATCTGTGAGACATCGGCGGCGACGACGGAATATTTTTGTTGATTTCTCTTCCTCCTCCTCCTCCTCTTCCTCTTCCTCGTTCTTCTCCTCTTCTTCTTCTTCTCGATCGAGGTAGATGCCCGCGGCAGTTCATATATATATATATATATATATATAAATGCATAGAGAGAGAGAGAGAGAGAGAGAGAGAGTGGCCTTCGGCCCATCCCGCCACCGTGCTTTGGTTGTCGGCCTGAGATCATTGGTGCCTGGGTTGCGGGTTAGAAGATACATGCCTCAAGTGGTACTCGGGGCTTCTTTTGAGCTTCTTGGGGGCCTCTTGGGGCCTCTTGGGGGGCCTCTTGGGGGCCTCTTGGGGCCTCTTGGGGGGCCTCATGGGCTTTGTTGGGCGCCTCTTGGGCCCCCCTGTGGCCGTTTTGGGGCGGAAGGGTCGGATTGTTGGTTCAGGCTCCCCCTCTTGGCCTCCTCTTCGGGCCGTCTTGGGGCACTGTTGGGCCGTCTTGGGAGCCGCTTGGGCCGTCTTGGCGCCCTCTTGGGCCGTTTCGAGCGCCTCTTGGGAGCTTCTTGGGCCGTTTTGGGGCGGTCTTGGGGATTTCTGGGGCCGTCTTCAACGCCTTGAAGGCCGAAAAGTCGTATATGATACAAAAGTACGCTGTCCCATAGGAATTCTACGATTTTGGCCTCCGGGGCGGGCCCCTCTTGGGAATGCTCTTAGAGGCTTCCTGGGCCGTTTGGGAGGCTTCTGGAGCCGTCTTGGGACCATCTTGGGCGTCTTGGGCCGACCTTTGGGCGTCTCGGGGGCCTCTTGGGCCGTCGTGGGGAAGCCCTCTGGGGCTTCGTGGGGTCTGATGACACCTTTGCCCCCCGCCCCCCCCCCCCCCCCTCCAAACCGGCCGGACCGGGCTCCGGGGGGAGGGGTTTGGGGAGGGGGAAGCATTTCACACGCCGTGACCCCAAGGGGTCGGCGGATTTTGCCTCGTTCTCGGCCTGGCTCCTGGAGCCCTCCGCGGGGGGGTCCTCTTAGTCGCTCCCGTTTCACCATGGAAGAAGAAAGGTCAGGGACAACGTGAGGGGAGGGTACGGTCGGTTCGTGCGGCGTTGGCGCGCTGGCGACGCCAGCGAAGGCGTTAAAGGCTGAATTCTGCGACGCGGAAGCACCGATGGGCGCGGAAATGCCATTGGACCCGACTGGATTCAACCTTGAATAATCGGGGCCGCGATCGATTCAAGATTAAACGATCGACGCGGTGTCAAAAACTTCTGCGCGCGCCGACGCCGCACGAACCTACGGTAGGCTCACGGGGGGGGAGCCATCGACGTGGAGCCGGCGACACATCCGGAGCATCGGCGATGTGCTCCCGATGGCAAAGCCGCACGGTCATGGGCGGGCGGGCCATCGGGCCCCTGTCAGCGACCGACGGGCGGTTGGGGGGCCGATGCGGTTTGGGGGAGCGCGTCGGCCCCCAATCTCAAGCAGTGGCGAGGCGTCCCGGCTGGCCTGCAGGCCCGCCAGGGAATGTTCCAAGAACCGCTTGTGGGTTGCACGAGATGTTCTCAGAACATGCTTGGCTGGGACGGTCTTGCTTTCACACGTCGGGGGCTCTGTTCGAGAGCGCGGCTTCCGTTATCGGGACATGTTTGGGGGGTTCTATGAGCGTGTCGTGGTAGGCCTACAGGAGTGCCGGGACGGTCGGTCCCTGCTCAGCGGTTGGGGGGCGATGCGATTCGGGGGGGCCGCGTCGACCCCCAATCCCATCCAGTCTGTCCAGCTGTGCATGCGCGGCGCGGTGCACGCGGGAGAGGTCACGGTGGGAGTTTCCGCTGCTCTCCTGGCTGGTCCGGGAGGGGGCTTTGGTTTGAGAGGGGACAGGTCGCGGGGGTCTGGAGGTGAGGGGCCATGGGAAGGAAAGAGTTTGAGGGGAGGGGTGGCGTAGGAGCTGGGGGATGAATTGGGGGATGAGGAGAGGCGAGGACATGGGCCCAGGAGTAGCTGCGGCGGCATCGGTGTCAACATCATGAGGGCGAGGAAATCGATGGGGGCAGAAGGATGGGGGATGAGGCACATCGGGGCGTAGAGGAGGGGAAGAAGGCGAGGATGCGCACGAGGATGGCCCATGTGGCCGATTCGGATAGCCTTTACCCCGAAGAGCGCCTCTCGAAATTGGGTCACGACGAGGCTGATCATTCAGCCGAGCTGGGGGCGGCATTGCACCCGCAGCCCTCCGCCGCCGAGTCGCACACGCTCGAGTGGCAGCTGAGGGTCGCTCGCAATGCCCCACGCTCTGCTGCCAAGCTCCTCCCGCCTCTGGCCGCGTCTTGATCTGAAGGATATGCCGGTCGTTGCTTCCCCACGGCCGGCCAGGGGAGCACGAGCAGGCGTGGTGCAGCACAAGTGCCTGGGATTTCACAGGCAGGCCTCTCGACCCTCGATTGCGGGTTGTGCGGAGGACTTGCCCCCAGTTGCTCATCCAGTGTCCGCTCGTGGCCACTCGTGCTTCGCTCTGGAGCGTGCGGACGATTCAGATACGAATTACTCTTGCACACGTGGCAAAGCATTCAGCACCCTTGGACAGTTCAAGAAGGTCCGTGGAGAGTGCACACGTCCTCTCGCCAAAGCGGCTGAATGTTGGTCCCGGGTGAAGCGTGGCTGGCATCGGAAGGAACCGATTCGGGTGGAACGCGTTCCCATCAGGGGGTAAGCCTGGTGGCTGGCAGGGCGTTCGTCAAAGGAATTCCTCCTTCTCCCTTCCTCCTCCTCCTCCTCCTCCTCTTCCTCCTTCTCTCCTCCTCCTCCTCCTCCTCATCCCTCCTCCTCCTCCTCCTTCTCTCCTCCTCCTCCTCCTCCTCCTCCCCCTCCCCTTCCTCCCCCTCCTCCTCCTCCTCCTCCTCCTCCTCCTCCTCCTCCTCCTCCTCCTCCTCCTCTTCCTCCTCCTTCTCCTCCTTCTCCTCCTTCTCCTCCTCCCGCGCGCGCGCCCCCTCGGACAGTCTCGATCCCTACACGCTAGGGGGACTACTGGGGCTCACGAGCTCCCTCTGGGCCACTCTTTAAGGCCTGGGGGGAGCTGCTCTTTGGTGAGCTTCAAAATGGCCTTGTGCCCCCCACTCTGACTGTTGCGAGGTGGGGTGCGCTGCTCTTTGAATTTCCTGGAGGCCCCGGCCCGCCAGCACCCACACCTCCGACACCACAAGACCCCACGGCATACAGTCGGGGCCCTGAAGAAGGGACCCTTTTGGTTGAGGAGGGGCTCCGCGTTCCTTAAGTGTTTCACAGCTTGCCTCAGGTTTCCCTTATGTTTTCGATCGGAAATCGAAGTTCAACTTATGGAAAAAAGGAGCCTCGTTCCTTATTTAGGGTTGCTTAGGTCAACGCCCCGACTGTACAGGAAGGTGGGGTCGGTGGCTGGAGTGGACAGGGGGGGCCTCCAGCATCGGCACGGGCGACCTCCCGCCCAGCGCCTTGAGACGAAGCCGCTGCTCCCGTGTCTGTGCATGGAGCGCGGAGCCAGCGGGCGCAGCACCTCCCGTGGGTCTGCTTCCCGCACCTGGCGCATGAAACTTGGTCCTCGCGGACCTCGGGCCAATGGGAGGTCACCTCTAAAAGATTCGGGGGTGGACAGACCTCCTACCCTGACACGTCGATTAAGGAATTGGTCGTTTTCGCTTCGCGAGAGGGCGCCGCGGCCGTCATGTTTGCGGGTCCAGGTCCGTCGGTTTCGGTCCCAGGCCTTTTTCACTAGGGGGGGGTCTACTAAAGGGAGGTTTGTCCACCGCCGAAAGATATTGGAAAGCTGTGTCACTGCGCTCCGTTCGCTGAGCTCTCTTGGTTTAAGCAGGAGCCTCCTCTACTGGAAAGTGGGTCCACCACAACATCTGGACTGCGGCCAACCGCCCACGGATCTGCTCGGCGAGTGTGTCCATTGCAAGCACTCGATCGACCAGCTCCTGGGGCACGGCGGCGGTGGCGGCAGCCTCACTTGCTAATTCGTCGGCCTTTTCATTTACAAGCAAGGCCCACGCTGGAAAACGGGCTCGGACCTCTGGGTCCGTGGCATGGCTTTTCACCTTGAGGTATCTAACTTGGCCCACTCGAGCCCCTAGAAAACGCCAGTACTCGAGCCCCCTGTGTGTGCCTGAGGAGCTCTATGGCCCCTTTGAGCTCCGGTCGATTGATTGTCTGGAGCCCCACGACATTCCCTTGGAGAGTGCCGAGAGGATTTAAATCTTCGTCCCAAACTCTTGCACCCCATCCTACTCGCCTGAGGCGGGGATCGGACGAGAAAGCGCCCCCTGAACCATCCACGGAGCCGAGGCGCCAACCGCCCCTCGGCTCTGGAGGATTCAGGAAGGCGCCAGTCCCAACTAGGACGGGGTGCTTGGGGGTGGTGTCTTCTACTGCCTTCAGAGCGAGACCTGCTGGAATGAGCCCTCGGAGCCATAGACATGTTGTCTGGTCGTCCCCTTGAGCGGTCTCCACGAGATCACCGGTAGCCTGGATGAGGGGATGTTCGGCCTGGAAGAGTAGAGGACATCCCCAGAACTTGTGATAGTCGTCGCAGTGGTGATCTCCGCACAACGGGCAGACCGAGTCGTCGCCTAAGCCTGCCTCGAAGCGGCGCCTGGGACTCCAGGCTGAGCACGCAAACACTGCCTTGAGCGCCTTCGCGAGGTTCTTCTGCCCATCGCGATACAATCTCTCGATCTGCCAACGTGAACTCTTAATGTCAACTCCATCCTGCACTCCTCCTGCTGCATGGCCCCCGTGTGCCCCACTCCATACCCTGTGCTGGAGAAACTGCTGGAACCTGCACATGAAATAATCCTGCTCCTGGATGTTATCGGGCCTGACTTGAAAAACTTCGCCTGTGGGGCTCCTCCAAGCCCAAGCTGAATCTGGGCTCCACCCGAGGTCGAGGAGGGTCCCGACGATAGCACTGAGGTGGCTGACAACGTTGTTCCATCGCCTGGGTTGCTGGAGCTTTGAAACTACGCTCGGCCAAGCTGCCGCGATGCCATTTCTGAGGTGCGGCTCCATCGCGACCAGCTCGAACCACATCTCGAAGAGATTGACGCGGTGGAAGATGGCGGGGTCCAGGGCCTCTGGCGGCAACTTCGACTGGTGGAGCCCTGCATTGGTCCCCAATGCGGCTCCTGCTGTCCTCCTGAGTTGGCTGAATTCGGTAGGGGAGACCCCATGGCCCTCGAGACCCCAGTGGAGCTGTGGCTGGGCCCCTGCACGATACAACCGATGAGCACTCTTTGGTCACCTTCAGGAGCCTCTTGATATTATTATGCCTCTTGAGCCCCAGACGCTGCCGAGCCTTGCGGACTTTGAGGAACCTACGCTTGCCCACGGTGGAGTCCAAGCCTAAGTCCTTGGTGCCCAACTTGGTTTTCAGGGGGATCCCGTGGAGCTTGCAGGAGTCCTGGACCTGGTTTCTGATGTCATTGTCATTCGACAAGAGGGCCGACTTGGGGGATAACCTGCACCCAAGATCTACTAACCCAGCTTTGAGATACTTCATGGCCTCGGGGAAGGACTGGAGCAAGGAATCGAACGAGCCAACCATGCGGGCGCGCAAGTCGTCGACCCATGTCCTAAGGGTGAGACGATCGAACCTGAGGTGCGCCTGATGGAGGAGGTCGTGCAAAAGAACTCGTGTCCAGGCCACGCTCTGACCGCACCCTGCTACTCCTCCTCCTCCTCCTCCTCCTCCTCCTCCCTCCTCCTCCTCCCTCCCCTCCTCCTCCTCCTCCTCCTCCTCCTCTCCTCCTCCTCCTCCTCCTCCTCCTCCACCTTCTCCTCCTCCTCCTCCGCCTCCTCCTCCTCCTCCTCCTCCTCCCCCTCATCAGCAGCAGCATCATCATAATCATCGGCATCATCATCCAACCGCCATCACCATCAGCATCGTCGCAGTCTCCGTCGTCGTCGCCGTCACCAGCATCATCTATATGATCATCACCATCGCCATCCCCATCGTCATCATCATCAGCAGCATCATCGTCATCAGCATCATCACCCTCACCCTCATTATCACCATCATCATCAACATCATCATCAGCACATCATCGTCATCCTCGTCATTGTCATCATCATCATCGCCAGCATCGTCAGCATCACTATCAGCATCATCACCGTCATCAACATGTTCCCCACCATCATCGGCAGCATCGTCATCAGCGCCACCAACAGCATAATCATCATCAGCAGCATCAGCATCATCAGCATCAGCAGCATCAGAAGCAGCATCATCAGCATCATCGTCGTCATCATCATCCTTTTCCTTATCCTCATCCTTATTTCCTCTCCTGGGGGGGCAGGCTGCGGGCTGGCGTAGCCAGTGGCGGCGGCGGCTGTGGGCATCCCGCCGCGGGCGCGTTCCATTCGGCGCCAGCGCTGCAGGCGGGCTTCAGGCTTCGGCTCGCGTCGCCGACGGTTTCGTTGCACGTCGTCGTCGTCGCCGCCGCTGCCGCCGTCGTCCTCGTCGTCGTCGTGTTGTTGGCCGTCGTTCTCCTTCGCGTCGTCGTCGAGGTGGGAGGTGGGGAGGGGAGAGGCGGCGTGAGTGGGAGGAGGCAGGGGCTTCATGGGCCCCCGAATGCGCATCACGAGGCCCTTCAGAGGCCTTTCAGAGCCTTTCAGGGTGTTTCCAGAGCTTCGTGATAACATCGCTAGGCGGCGCGGCCCCATGCCGGTAAGTCACTGCCCGGTGCAATGTGGAGTCACCGTCGGTTCTGTAGGTTTCTTACGCCACATCCGCCGACCCCTTGGTGTTTCGGAGGAAGCGTCCTGGGCGCCCGAGCACTTTTCGCAGGGGGCAGTGCTTGTAAGGAAGTGTGACAGGAAGGGGAGGGCTCTCGTGGGGGGTCCTTTGGGACCCGTCTTGGAGCGTCTACGGGGCCTCTGGGGGCCCTCCTGGGCCGTCCGCGGCGCCTTGCGGGCCGTATTGGCGCCATCTTGGGCTGGTTGGGGCCCGTGCTGGGC